TAGGGGTAGGTCGGGACTACTTATGCATTTAAGCTTTTCAATACTGAACTGATTTTTGCTTTTTTTCCTAGTCACAGTGCTCAGGTGAGTGATGTGGCACATGGGGATCTTGTTTTGATAACCGAATAATTTAGCCAAGAAAGTTTTCCTCAGAAAAGTCTTGTTTATCATAATTTCTTAAATTTTTCTCTAATTGTCTACTTGTCACTGACATATTAAATTCAGTGGACATTAAATTTGGCAAACAAAATTTAACTCATACAAAACTTGATTTTATATTGTAAAAACATTAAATCAGGGACAGTGATACCAGTTAGATATTTTAGCCAGTAAGGTGTACTATATGTCTTTATTTTGACAAATATGATTAAAATTATGAAATATGTAACTTTTTAGCTCATCTGAGCTGAAAGCTCAAGTGAGCTTTTCTGATCACATTTTGTCCGGCGTCTGTCTGTCTGTCCGTCTGTCTGTAAACTTTTCACATTTTCGACTTCTTCTCAAGAACCACTGGGCCAATTTCAACCAAACTTGCCACAAAGTATCCTTGAGTAAAGGGGATTCAAGTTTATTCAAATGAAGGGCCACGCCCTCTTTCAAGGGGAGATAATTAGGAATTACTGAAAAAATAATGGCATCATTTAAAAATCTTCTTCTCAAGAACCATAGGGCCAGGAAAGATGAAACTCATGTGGAAGCATCCTTAGGTAGTGTACATTCAAGTTTGTTCAAATCATGACCCCCGGGGGTAGGGCGGGGCCGCAATGGAGGATCAAAGTTTTACATAGAAATATATAGGAAAAATCTTTAAAAATCTTCTTCTCAAGAACAGCAAAGCCATGATGAGTCATATTTATATGGAAGCATCCTCAGGTAGTGTAGATTCAAGTTTGTTCAAATAATGACCCCCGGGGGTAGGGCGGGGCCGCAATGGAGGATCAAAGTTTTACATAGGAATATATAGGAAAAATCTTCAAAAATCTTCTTCTCAAGAACAGCAAAGCTATCATTGGTCATATTTATATGGAAGCATCCTCGGGTAGTGTAGATTCAAATTTGGTCAAATCATGACCCCCGGGGGTAGGGTGGGGCCTCAATGGACGATCAAAGTTTTACATAGGAATATATAGGAAAAATCTTCAAAAATCTTCTTCTCAAGAACAGCAAAGCTATGATTGGTCATATTTATATGGAAGCATCCTCGGGTAGTGTAGATTCAAATTTGGTCAAATCATGACCCCCGGGGGTAGGGTGGGGCCTCAATGGACGATCAAAGTTTTACATAGGAATATATAGGAAAAATCTTCAAAAATCTTCTTCTCAAGAATAGCAAAGCAATGATTGGTAATATTTATTTGGAAGCATCCTCAGGTGGTGTGGGTTCAAGTTTGTTCAAATCATGACCATCGGGGGGTAGGGTGGGGCCACAATGGATGACAATTAAAGTTTAACATAGGAGAATATAGGAAAAATTTTCAAAAATCTTCTTCTCAAGAACAGCAAAGTCATGATTGGTCAAATTTATATGGAAGCATCTGCAAGTGGTGTAGATTCAAATTTGTTCCAATTATGACCCTTTGGGGTAGGGTGGGGCCACAATGGACAATCAAAGTTTTCATGGAGTATATAGGAAAAATCTTCAAAAATCTTCTTTTCAAGAACAGCAAAGCTATGATTTGTCATATTTATTTGGAAGCATCCTGAGGTGGTATAGATTCAAGTTTATTCAAGTCGTGACCCCCAGGGGTAGGGTGGGGCCACAATGGACGATCAAAGTTTTACATAGGAATATATAGGAAAAATCTTCTTCTCAAGAACAGCAAAGCTATGATTGGTCATATTTATATTGGAAGCATCCTCAGGTGGTGTAGATTCAAGTTTGTTCAAATCATGACCCCCAGGGTAAGGGTGGGGCCACAATGGACGATCAATGTTTAACATAGGTGTACATAGGAAAAATCTTCATAAATCTTCTCAAGAACAGCAAAGCTTTGATTGGATATATTTTTTGGAAAGCATCCTCAGGTAGTGTAGATTCAAGTTTGTTCAAATCATGACCACCAGGGGTAGAGTGGGGCCACAATGAATGTTCAAAGTTTTATATAGGAATATATAAGAAAAACCTTTAAAAATCTCAAAAACAGCAAAGCCACGGTTTGTAATATTTATATGGAAGCATCCTCAGATAGTGTAGATTCAAATTTGTTCAAATCATGAACTCCAGGGGTAGGGTGGGGCCACAATGAAAGTTCAAACTTGTAGAGAAAAAAGTCACAGTCAAAAAATTATGTAAGCAGTGTAGATTTAATTTTGTTCAAGTCATACCCCCCCCCCCCCAATCCCTTTTAGGGGTAGGTTGGGACCATTTATGCATTTAAGCTTTTCAATACTAAACTGATTTTTCCTTTTTTCCTGGCCACAGTGCTCAGGTGAGCGATGTGGCCCCTGGGCCTCTTGTTAAATTTTGTGGCCATTCTTTTTCAAAATGATTTAGAGGCATATTTTGAACAATTTAAGGCCTATGATCATCAAACTTTGTCAGTTGATGCATCTTTTGTCCTCAAAGTATGTCAACTAAAAAGTAGGTCACCTTGACCTACTTTTTGAATTTTAGGATGATCTTTTTTAAAACAATTAAGGTCATTAATTCAAATACCGAGAGGTTTAGAATCATTAAATCTTGTAAGATGATGCATCTTGGGGCCATAAAACATATTTATTAAAAAGTAGGTCACAGTGACCTACTTTTTGAACTTTCAGGCATTCGATTTCAAAGCGTTTTAGAGGCATAATTTGGACATTTTAAAGCCTATGATCATAAAACTTTGTAAGTTGATGCATCTTAGGTCCTTAAAAAATGTCAACTGAAAAGTAGGTCACTGTGACCTACTTTTGAAAATTTATGGCTTTAATTAAATATTTTGGGTACTAGTTGGCTTAGAATCATCAAATTTTGTCAGTTGATGCATCTTGGGTCCTTGGAGTACAACAACTGAAAAGTAGGTCACTTTGACCTACTTATAAAATTTTATGGTTATAATTTTAAAAAATATTTTAGGTATTAATTGGCTTAGAATCATCAAAAGTAGTTGAAGGGTCCTCAGAGAATGACAAGTGATAAGTAGGTCACCTGACCAACTCTCAGGTACTAGTTGGATTTGAATCATCTTGGGTTCTCAGAATGTGAATTGGAATTTCAAGGGTTTATCTAAATATACAGGATACTTAGTGGCTTCAAATAGAAGTTATAGGTTGTACAGTTTATCAGAAGAGCGATTTAAGGCCCTTGGGCCTCTTGTTGTACTATATAAAGAGCTAGAAGCTTTTTTTTTCTATGGCAATACTGTATACAGGGTTATTTTTGCCCCGTGTTATTTTCACCCTTTCATACTTGCAAACAATTTTGCCCCGTTTTAAATTCGCCCAGTCACAATTCTGTTTAACAAATTATACTGTGATTTTTGAATTCGCCCCGTTTTAAATTCGTTCACTTGTGTGCAGGGCAAAAGGGGCAAAAATAAAACGGGGGCGAAAATTTCCCTGTATACAGTACATGTTCCAACAAATGGAGTGAAATATTAAAAAGGGAATTAACAGTATATACTAGAATAATTTTTTTTTTTTATACATTAGATCAATATTGCAATTGTATTTCATTGACTCATCAATTTTACACACAGGAAGCTTCTTTTCAAACAAGCATTCTATATAAAAAAAAAACTCAAAAGCACTTCTGTATATCATGCTGGTGTTGAAGTCAGCTGTCAACAGTGAAAGTAAGCCATTCTCACATTTTTCTTGTCATCTTCTTCTAACATTCAACTATGTCACTTTGATTTGCTGAGGCCATTATCCATTTTGTCCGTTTTACATTGTGTCAAAAAATAAATGAAAAAGATTTAAAAAAATAAATTTGCTAAAAAATGAGTTTTATATTTATATATTTAAATTTGCAAATGCTTTCCTTTATATAACACTGTTGAAATCAATGTGTATCTATATCCATATAAACACGGATTCCTCATGTCATAAACGTTCGAGGTAATATCTCAGTGAAGTCATGAAGGGTCGACGCAAAATCAATGGATTAAACACGTGTCGTTGGGTTTGAAAAATAAAACACTTCACACGTTAAAAATTAGAATTAGGCAAATATAAAATGTTAAGTCACAAATGTAAATATAAGTAATAAGGTATCATTTTTAAACATCTTTCGGGAGATAAATACGGGTTAGTCACGAGAACAAATTCCATAAAGCCCTTCAGATGTTTAAAAATGATACCTTATTTCTTAAATCCATTTACTATCCCGCTTTACAAGGTAGTATACAGTGTCCTTTTTCAGGTCGTTAGACTAGCTCCTCTGAAATGACGTGACACATTAATTTTGTTACCTTAATTAAATCATTAATTGCATTGTAAATTTATATATTTTTCATATCTGAAGTAACTCATTTGACACATACTCTTCAGTTGGTTAATCTAATGGGATATCTATATGCAGAAATATGGAGGAAATTTGGATTTTTGGATTTGAAAAAAAGGCTTTTAGAAATATTTTGAATCATATATTACTGCAAAATGGATTAGAAGGAAACTGACTAACAACAGAAATATGCTGCTTTTAATTTTTTCCTCTTTTTTTTGTTTTTTTTTTTTTTGTTTTTGTTTTTGTTTGTTTTTTTTTTTATAATTCAAAAGTAAACACTTGAAAAAAAGCACTTTTTAAGGGTATAATTCAGTTATAATTTTTCAATAGCCCAAGGGCTACCTTCTTGCAGAAAACCACTAACCCAGCCATTAAAATCGATGGCTTAGGGTGTCGCTAATGCACACCCCTGTAATTTGTACAATCAACTCAGGTACAATTCCTTCATTATTATTTGCCTTTTTCCTTTAAGAGTTTACAGACTGGGAATGTCTTGGTAGCAGACCAAGGTTTCCATCCATCTGCGATGTATTTGCACTACTAAAGTATTATCTTCATGTTCTTTTTGTAG